GCGCAAGATGTGACCGTTTCACCGTGTATTCATTGTGAGACTCCATTGGAGGAGTCATGCTCTAGCTGCCTTAGGCTGCTGGGCAATGAGCTGGGATTTATCCAGGGATGCATTCGTGCAGAGCCCCAGTGTGGTTTGTAAGCAGTAGCTTAATACCATGCCAAAAATTACTCTGGGAGTGGAGTGTGGGTGATGCTCAAAGCAACGTGTGATAGCCAAGCTGGATTAGCGTTGACCATAGCTGAAAATGTCAGCGATTTATCACTTCACTAAGTTCAGCGAAGAGATATTTGAGAATTGCATAAAAAATTCATACCCAATTAAACACGAGCGAAGTGCCTTTAAAAACAATGCGTCTGTGTGTTCGCTGTTCTTTGTTTAAGCGGGAAATGCATTAGTCGCTTAAACAATAACATATGCGTTGATAAACACCGTTGTGGAAGAAGACGAATCAGTTAATTATCCAACGGAATTTTTGAACTCGATTGATCTTCCAGGGATGACCCCACATACTGAATTGAAAATAGGTGTACCGTGATAATGTTGCGGAATATTAATCAGCTAAAACTCCGCAACAGTACGCGACTCGCAGTTAAGAAATTGATGAAGAACGTAGTGTAAGTAAAGATCTTTACGTGGCCTTTCAAAGGTGAAAATTCCCATGATTCCGACCGATACACCATTTCCATTTTAAAGATTGCAGTTCCGAATTCGATTGACATTCGGAATCACAATCACTATTGCTCAAGGTTATCCTTTGGAAAAGTGTGGTTTAGAGTGAGATGCGGAATGGTTCTTAGATGTTGCGTGTTCCCGTGTCGGCAAACCAGATATCCTTGATATCAATGCAGAGAATGGAAACACGACGAATATTGTGTGCACACAAGTACTTATTACAAAATCAAACTCATATGAAACGTATGCTTTGTTTCGTTAATAATTTATCATCCATGTAACAGGAATATGCCACAACAAAGCGTGGCAGGGTATAGCTAGTGCTTGTTATAATTTAAATGCAATAAATTATTGCAATAGCATTCATTTTAACATTTTAATGTTAATTCAAAAAAAAAATCATTAACATTATTTCTACGGAATTAATGCATTGAAATTTTCATTTACATTAAATATCAAAAATTAATGCATTAACTTTTTTCATTTACATTAAAATGCTATGCATTAAAAAATTTAATGCATTTTTCACAACTCTGCGGCGTACCCTCAAATGGCGGTCGCCACGGTCGGATGCGTTGTGCCTCGTCTGGCGGAGCTGGATGAGGTTTCCGGCGGCTCATCGCTGTGGTGTGTCTGAAGCGACTAATTCTCAAAACCTGGAACGAGAAGATGGAGAGTGGGTTTGGTTTTGTCGCTGCGGCTTCGGTAGTTGGTTGGTTGTTTATGTGGTGAATGGTTTTAGGTCCTGCAGGTGTGCGTGCGCTGCTTGTTTGTCGAGCCGCTCGGGGTTGTTGAGTTTCACCGTGTTGGTAGATATGTACTTGGCGATTATGTATGGGCCTGAGAATTTTGGAGCAAGCTTCTGTGCATAGTTGTCGGCAGCAGAAGAGAGTGGGTGATCTCGCTTCGTAACCTTCTACCCCACCATAGGTTTCCACGGCCGTCTGCGCAGGCCGTAGTATTTTTTCTGCTGCTTGGCTGCCGCGGTGAGGTGCCTCTTTATCTCCGTCCATAACTCGGTGATGGCTGGAGGTGCTGCGGGGTGCCCCTTTGGAGCGTATGCCGTGACGCTGCTGGATTTCGCCCGAAGTTTAACTCCACGGCGGAAGCTTGCGTGGATTCGTGCTGAGCCGTGTTCATAGCGAAGGCGATCTGGGGGAGCTCCTGGTCCCAGGTGCGGTGATCTGTCTTTGAGCGCTGGGCTATCATGGTTTTTATTACTCGATTGGCTTGCTCGGTCGTGTTTTCGTGGGGGGCGTATGCTGCGGTGAATTTATGTTCTATGCGATGTTCGCCAGGGAATGCTGCTAGCGCTTTGCCAACGAATTGTTTCCCGTTGTCGCTGAGAAAGACGGCGGGGCAGCCGAACCTGTAGATGACTCTCTCCTGGAGTGCTTTGATCACTGCATGGTGGCCATCAATCTTGCAGAGCGTCTTTGTTCCACCTTATACTCGGCGCAGGACAGGCATCTTCGCACGTGCTTGAGTACTCGCGGTACATCCCAGCCCAGTAGTAATTCTGCTGCGCTCGTTTGAGAGTTTTATTGACACCTAGATGGCCGGCCAGTGCGGGGTCATGCACTTCTCGCAGGATGTCTGGTCTACGACTGGTGGGGAAGCAGAGCTTCCATTGAGGTGCGCGGGAGAGCTTGTTGCGCGGCGCGATGTGGCGGAACAGTCTATTGTCGATGACTTGGTAGTCCGGGTTGCGGCTGGGTTGTTGCTGTACGACCTTCAGTTTCCTCTCGTACCAATCGCCGGTGCTGGTTTCCACGGTGTGGAGCGTGTCTTCTCCGTCATCGGTAGTTGTTAGTGGGCATCGCGAGAGTTCGTCCGCTACTATGCTCAGTGCTCCCTTACGGTATTCGATGTCAAAATTATACTGCCGGAGTTCGTCCGGATGGGTTCTGCAGCGAGTGTGGCGATTTCAGCGAGTGGTAGTCGGTGATTACGGTGAAGTGGTATCCTTCCAGGTATGTTCTCATCTTGCGTATCCCCCATAGCACAGCAAGGCACTCTTGTTCGGTGGCTGAGTAACGCTTCTCCAGGTCGTTTAGGCTTCGGCTGGCGTCCGCCACGGCTCTCTCTTGGTCGGAGTGGCGTTGAAACAGGACCACTCCAAGCCCTTCTCCGCTGCCGTCGGTTTGGAGGAAGAAGCGGCGGTTGAAGTCGGGGCAGCAGAGTACTGGCGCGCTCATGAGCTTCTCTTTTAATGTCAGGAATGCATTTGATTGTGATGTGCCCCATACCCAAGCCAGGCCTTTCTTCAGCAGTTGGTTGAGTGGTGCTGAAAGCGTGGACAAATCGGCGACGAAGCGGCGGTACCATGATGCGAGACCGAGGAATCGACGAAGCTCTCGGATGTTCTGAGGCGCTGGCATTTCTCGTACGGCGGATATTTTTGCAGGATCAGTGTGTATGCCCTCGGAGCTAACGATGTGGCCGAGGTAGTGGAGCTTCTGTTGCACAAAGCTACATTTGTCGAAGTTCACCTGCATCCTCTTCCTCTGGAGTCGTTCGAACAATTCTCGTAGGTTGCTCATGTGCTCGTCGAAGGTGTCTCCTAGGACGATGATGTCGTCTAGATACGCGAATACCTTCAGCTGGAGTTCCGGACCGAGAATCGCGTGGAGAGCGCGCTGGAATGTCGCTGGAGCGGAGTGTAACCCGGCATGACTTTCCAACTGGGACGGTGAAGGCGGTATATGGCCGTCATCATTAGGCTAGGGGTATCTGCTAGTAGCCGTTTTTCAAATTAATTGTGGATATGTACTTCGCTTCTCTGAGTTGGTCGAGGATTGTTCCAATCTGGGGCAGTGGGTATGCGTCTGGTTCGCTGGCGGCGTTGAGTTGGCGGTAGTCTATGCACATCCTCCAGCTTCCTTGCGTCTTACGAACTAGGACAATCGGTGACCTATACGCGCTCTTTGATGGTTCGATCCGCTGCCAGCAGCTCATCGATTCAGCATTGATCACCTGTTGCATAGCCGGGTTGCGGGGGTAGTAGCGGTGCTTCAGCGGCCGGTTGTGTTTGAGAGTGATCACATGCTTGGAGGCGGCAGCGACCATCTAGTTTTCCTCCTGGTTGAGTGTTAGTATCCACAGGGGAGGCGGCTATCGGAACTGTTCTGGTGCTGCGTATTTTGCGGGGCGGCTTCACGGTGGCTGTGTTGCACGAACAATCTCTGGAGAGGACCTTATCTCGGTCGCACCTAGAGCTTGACAGTATTTTCGTCCTTCGGCATCAGAAGCGGAGGTGCCCGCGTCTTTTGCACCGCCAGCAGGATTCCTCTCTGCTGCACCTCTCTTCTAGGGGAGCTAGGCTGTGTGCTGCCTGTATGCCATTTCTGGCCTCCTCGCCCTTTAGAAGCTGAAGTTCGTCAGTGAGATCCATCAGATCCTCGATCTTCTTGAACTCTCCCCTCTTGACAAAAAGGCGATATTCCACGCGCAAGCAATCGTAGATGCGCTCCAGGTTATCATCTCCGCTCATAGTCGGGTGTTGGCGTATCAGCGTTTGTAGTGCCAAGATATAATGTTTGACTTTTTCTCGGCTCTGTTGGCGTCGCTGCCGGATGGCTTCTTCCAGCTGGCTCATTAGTCGCCTGGGGAGGAATAACCGCTCGACTTCTGCACGGAATGCTGCCCGCGAGTGGATTTGTGGCTTTCGCACGCGGAACCATTGGAGGGCTTTCCCGCGTAGCCCTTTAGGTAGGGTTGGGAGGAGGTCGTCCAGTGGGATGTGGTAGCTCTCGGCTAGTTCTTCGATTCTCTCCAGGAAGTCGTGTAGCGCGTCGCCTCCTGCGAAGTGTACGTCCCATCGACGGACAGTATTTATCAGCTCGGCGTCGCTGATCTCATTACGTTTTGATGCTATACGCTTCATTTCTCCTGGCTGTGGACTACAGTTGTCGATCCGGACGGTGGGAATAGTGCTGGGGGCAGCTTTACTGGCCTGTCCTCTTCTGCTTTGACCTCTTCTTCTAGGTCTCTCAGTAAATTCTCTGCTGACTTGCGGTTGCGCTTTGCTTTTACATATGCGCTAAGCGCGTTGCGCAGGTCGGCGACTGTGTATCCCTCTACGAAAATTCGGTGTCGCTTGCACTCTCCTATCAACCTCTCCGTCTTTAGCAGGTATATCCAGCTGAGGAAGTCGACTTTCAGCGTATTGGTTTTGCTCTCGCTGGCGCGTGTGTCATCTGTTGGTTGTGGTGTGTTCGGCGAGCCCGCTTCCGCAGTGTTGGTGCTTGTAAAATTTTTTGCACATGCGCCTGCAGAGCTGGGTCCCAGCTCGGGCGCCATTTATGAGGTGGGTTTTGTCAAAGGCTGAGGTGAACTCAGCCGATCCAGAGTCCAGCGAAGGTCCCACTAACCCCCACCAAATAAAACACACTATCTTCTTGTATTTACTTCGAACACACACACACACGGCGCTACGACTAGAGTGCTAGCAGCCTTATGTCCAAAGAGAGGGAGATCGAGAGAGATGAAGTTCGTTGTGGTCGTGCGGTCGGGTAGGAGCGGATGACGGCGAGAGCGCTAGCAGCACATCGGATGGCTCTAAGGAGCGGCGTAGCAACGGTGAGGGCGCTAGCAGCACGGCAGGTGACTCTTGGCAACAGCGGAGCAACGGTGGGAGCGCTAGCAGCGCGGCGGGTGATTCTCAACAACTGCTGAGCAACGATCTTCGGCAGCGGGTGACTTCTAACAGCAACGGGTTGTTCGTACTGGCACTCGGCAGCTCGGCAACCAGTGGAGCGAAGCGACCTAGCAAGACTGAGGCACCGCCGCTCCCATAATCACACTCTACACGAGTAGGGGCTGGAACGGTTCGGCAGTGTCGGAGGCTCAACCAGCCGGTGACAAATAAGGATGCCTAAAAGGGCGTGCAATCTCCGGTCAGCCGGCGGGTTGAGTCGTACTTGGTTTTGGCTTGGCCAGTCGGCGACAAATAGTGCGCCCGAAGGTACACCATTTAGTAGCGATTGGTTACGCCGAGCTTGGCTTGGCAGGCCGGCAAGACATTAGTGCGCAGGCACACCACCCACTCACCGACCAGTCAAGTCAGCTACTAACCTAGCAAGACTGACCAGACTGCGCACTTGTTAAGTCTTTTATACCTGTTGCGCTGTATGCTTGTTGAAAATTCGTCGTGTGCCGTCCCGATTTATGCAGTGTGGTGAGCGAAGTGGTTGATGAGTTATTCGGGCATGCTGCTGGTGTGCTGCTAGCAGCAGCGTTGCCATTTTGGTCCAATGGGACCAAAATTGGTAGGCTCATTATCCTTTGGTAGTTTGGTTGGTAGGATGAAGCTTTTGGTAGGCAAAAGTGAAATTGCAACCAAATTGAGCAATCAAATTTGTTTGCTTAAGATTGCATACTGCCAGTGCTATCTACTATTTATAGTAACTCTAAAAATATCTATGAATGGTAACCCTGTATTCATAGCAAGCAAAGGAAATAATGACAAGAGAAAGCGTGAAAGAAAGATGTTAAATGTCAAAAACTTGGCATTTGCGCGCCTTTCTTCAATTGAATTTAACAAATAAGGGAAAAGATTAGTGATGGCCCAGTAAGTTAATTTTTCTTTAAATTAGTTACTTTTTAATCGTTGTTTATTTGCAGGTATATCTATAAAGCCTCTAAACCGTCCGAAGTAAGTGTGGACAATAATAACGACGACTTGTTCAGGTAAAAAATTGCGACTAAGTAGGCATGTACATATGTGTCAAAATTCTGTGGGGATGAAAACTCGCCTGCGCCCAAAAACCAAACTCAGAAATAAACTAACCATCAGTACAATAAATAGTATTATGCACTTTAAAGAACTAGTACAAAAGGCCATCAGCCTTACGTGTGGTCAGTAGAAAGAGATCTCAAAGATGTATGATTTTTTTACAAACGTTTTGTATACAATTAGGGGATATAAAAACTTTTTGTTTTTGATATAATATAGGATATAAAAACTTTTTGTTTTTAAACGAATAAAATGCTTGAAATTGTATTGTCGAAGAAAAAAAAAAACGTTTGAAATGAATTGAATTGATCTCAAAGATATATGTATGTACTCGGGACGTTTTTTTTTACAAACGTTTTGGGTACAATATTTTTGATACTTAGGTTGTTCACACTCGCTTGGTTATCAGGTTATCTGGTTAAAAATTATTATTCTGTAGTGTATTTTATTGTTGTAAACTGAATAAAAAATATAACCACATAACCAGATAACCTGATAACCAAGCAAGTGTGAACAATCTACCTTATATTTAAACGCATAAAATGTCTGAATTTGTTGTTTTATACATCAAAATGTTTGATATGAATTGAATTAATATCAAAACTATATACAATGCTTATAACTGTTTTTTATACGATACGTTAATTAATTTATTTAAACGCCCGAATTTATTTTGTGTAAACTTCAAGTATTGCATGAATGGATAACCAATTGTAGCACAGTAAACCATATTATTTGGTATTTTAATTTATGCCTACTGTTAATCTGCAACAAAATTTTTTGTAGTTTGCAAACTGATTTGGTAGGCTTTTTGGTACCTTAAAATATTCTCAAGTGGCAACGCTGGCTAGCAGTGATATTGTGTATATCGTCGTTTAAAGTACAAAACCGCGTATCGTCATTCTGCAAAACCGCGTAACTGGCATTAGCTACCAAAAATTGGATTTGCTCATACAAGCTCTTGGCTCAATCCTTATCCATTCGTCCTGAAATATAATAGCCAAGTATGCGATTGCTTTATAAAAAAGATAACCATTTTGAAATATGAGTGTTTTTACTCTCTAGAAGATAATTTACATAATTCAAATACGCGGTTTTGCATTATATTGATACGCGGTTTTGCTTTTTGTTGATACGCGGTTTTGTACTTTAAACGACGATATGTACGATGGTGTGTGTATGTANCAGACATATGACCGTTCTGGGGTCATAAACCCTTTAACGTTCATTCTTTTATTGCATTTCATTGCAGCGTATGCGATGACATATGATCACAAGACAAACCCAAGTGGAAGGTCCAAAAGCAATTGAAACCAAAATAGTTTGACACATTTACCAAATGTGTTAGTCATCGATTGGATATTGTTTTCAACGCTATATAAGTAGAAGTAAGTTCATAAGTAGTTCAGTTACTGAAAATCATTCAACAAACACTGTTGATTTTAAAACCTAATAAAACATAAACACTTTTCATTTTAATAATTCTAACTTGCTCTTTGGCACTCACCCATAGTGACAAGACAAGAAAGATTAGATTGGATAGGCGGCTTTCTTGAGAGCTCTGCCCACAGCACAATCTATATAAGGCTAAGCACTTGATGGCAAAGTAAGGCC